TCCTTGCCTTGTACCTTTCTCAATTTTAAATGTATCTGTCAATCCCCCATTAACTACAATTTGTGCTGATTGTAATTGATAAATAGCCTTAAGAGCAGACAAGAAACTATCTCCAAAATTCATTCTCTCCACAACTCGTAATAAAAATTGCCAATCCAATTTATCAAACGCTTTTTCAGCATCCAAAAAAATAAAAGCTGCTGGAATTTGATTATTTTTATCCAAATATTCAAGCAAATTCACAATTTGTCTAACATTATACTTCATATATCTACCATTTATAAATCCAGACTGATCAATATGAACTATCCGTTTCAAAACTTGCATTAATCTGTTAGCTAAAATTTTTGTAAAAATCTTGTAATCTGTGTTCAATAAGGATATTGGTCTATAATTTTTAGGCTGAGTCAAATCCTGATCCTCCTTCGGTATGAGTGATATAAATGCACATCTCATGATGGAGACACCTCTGCTCCGGACAGGATACTATTAAAGAGATATTTCAAAGGTTCTATCATTTCTTCTGATAACATTTTATAATATATTGCTGTGAACCCATCTGTACCAGGAGCTTTTCCAACCTTTAATTGTTTAATTGCCTCTATAATCTCCTCAACCACAATCGGAGAATTCATAACTCCTTGTTGTTCATCTGAAAGTCTAGGAAAATTTGCTTGCTGTAAATACCTATCTATTTCAATAGGTTGTACATTTTCAGAGGCATATAATTTTGAAAAATATTCCAAAAAAGTCTTTTTAATCAAATCTTGTTGGAAAACTTCTTTACCTTTATAATGTATTTTCTCTATAATTCTTGATTTTTGTTTCTTACGTAATTGATAAGCCAACCATCTACCAGGTTTATTTGCGTTACAAAATGTGTTATGTTTCATATACTTCAAATTAACTGCAATCTGATCTGCCATCAACATATTAAACTGTTCCTTCAACATAGCAATAGAAACCTTTAAATTATTATCCATTGGATTTAAAATAAGAGCTTTCTCTTTTATTTTAATCTGATCCTCCAAATCTCTTCGTTTTTGTATTTGCTTTCGCCTATGTGCACTGTTCATTGAAATTAGAGCATCTCTCATGTAAGCCTTACTAGCATCCCATACCATTGACATAGAGGTGCCCATATTCATATTCAGCAAAAAAAAGTCTCTTAAGTGATCTTTAAGTTTCTGCAGATTACTCTCATGTCTAAGTAAATTCTCATTTAATCTCCAAGTCCTTCTATTTTCTTCAGTTGAAAGTTCCATCCATACAGGACTATGATCTGATAAAATCCTAGAGAAAATCTTCACTTTCTTAACCCTAGAAAGTAAGTCATTAGTTATTTTAAAAAATCAATTCTAGAGTGGGAATGGTGTCTGTCCGAAAAAAAAGTAAAATCTCTTTCTCTTAAATTCCGTTCTCTCCAAATATCTCTTAATTCCAAATCCTCTTGCAATGCAAAAAAAGTTTTAGGCAATTTAACTTGAGTCAACACTTTAGAAGAAGTCTTTTTATCTTTCATTGGATCTATAACTCCATTCCAATCTCCCATCATAATAACAGATTTATAATCCAAATGAGTTATTTTCTGATGCAGCAATCTATAAAATTGTTTTTGCTGCTGTTGCTGATTTGGTGCATATAAGCCAACAATGAGACATTTCTTTCCATTCAATAACGATTCAATAAGTACAAATCTTCCTTCTGAGTCAAAGTCTATTAGTTTTGGCAGAAATTCTTTCTTAACATACAAAACCTGCTTTTTTCTTCAGAGCTGGAGAAATAAAATGAAGTCCCAATTTAGAATTAATCAAATACTTTTGATCTTTCAAAGTAATGTGAGTTTCTTGCAAACATATAATGTCATTTTTATGTTGTTTCAAATAGTAAAATATTTTCTTTCTTTTTTGTGGTGAATTCAAACCATTCACATTCAACGTCATCAGCTTAACCATCCTTTGGCTTGTGAAGCTTATGGAGCATTCCTTGTAAATCTGTCATCACAGATCTCTTTCGCCTTGCCCCTCCCACAGGCTCCGAAGTAGGCGAGTATGTTATAGATATAGGTTCTTTTTGTTGCTCTTTCTCTTTACGTTTGTATGCTGCATGGGTCATTCTTTGCTCCTTTGGATCTTTTTTCACTTCAGACAATTGTTGGTTCTGAGAGTCTCCTGCATATAGTGACATAGCCTCAGGCAATTCAACAAGTAGTTGTTCGGTCAAATCTTCCTTTGCTTTAGGTCGGGGTGATGGTGGTAAGTCAGCCTTCAGGACCGATGAGTAAAAATCTTTAGCTTTTTGAATCGTATTCGATTTATAACGTGTCCCCACATAACTTTCCACAATTCCAACAGGAATATCCCATCTAAAAGGCATCTGCCGCTTCTTTAACTCCTGAGCCAGAAAAGCAAAATCCTTCCTTTTTCTTAAAATTTTAGGAGGTATTTCTTTTAAAAGTATAATATCTTGGGCAGCAATCTGAAATCTCTGCTGGTAGAAAGCCTGTATAATTTCATTGCGACGTATTCTTGTAGAAAAATAGACAACAACATCTCTCGGTAGTTTTCTTTGGCGCGCAACCCAGAAATTTACTCTATAAGCTTTTTCAATTTCTCCAAAAATTACTTCGGGATTGCACTCCAAAACTAAAGCCAGAGCTGCAGCTATTTCCTCTCCCAATTTCTCTTGTAAATCTTCCTTTAATCCTCTAATCCTCAGGGCAAACTCCATTTCTCTGTATTGTGACATTATAATATCATTCTGAACAGTTTCCACACCTTCTTCTACTTTCTCAAGTCTGTCCTCCATTCCTTCCATTTTCTCCACTAATTCATCCACCCGTCCCTCTATGCGATCTACATGAACCGCCAAACCATGAAAAATATGCGATATGTTCTCACAAAGTTCCTCATTTTTCTTATCAAGAAGCTCCTCTGTTTCCATTCTGACTTGTCTGCAATGAAGCTTGTGCTAAAGCATCTTGTAAATCTTTAAGTGTAATAGACGGGGGAGGCGAAGGTGGCGGAGATTTAGGTTTCTGTTGTGGAATTTGCACAACTGGAGAAGAAATAGCTGTTTTAGGTAAAGCAGAAGCTCCAATACGTTTAGAAGCCATTCTGCAGAATTCTTCTAAATATATATATAATTTAAGACACAAAACAGCAGGGTACCGCTGAACTTTCAATAAACTTAAAAAAACCCTTTGTGATGCATCAATCCACAACCGGAAGAAGAGTGAAAGTTTTCCTTATGATACAAAGAAACAGCACGTCCGCAGCCATTTTCTTCTCACTTTGATTTATAACAAATAAAGAAGATGCCAGTATATTCTGTGAATTAAAGTCTTAATTCAGCTAGAATCCAGGTCTCCTGATTGGTTCCGTCTGCTTATAAATTACTCACGATCTGGAGTTTCTATAATTGGCAGCAGTGGCGGCAACGTCTGGCTTCGCTCCAAAGAACGAAGACACTCCGAGCTGCGGAGAAGAATCTGGACTCTGGAGGAGTTCAACACCTTCATTCCCCCAAGATCACTCCTGGGAGAACTAGGGAACTCTACTCCTATCCAGAAGGATAAGCTACAATGGAAAACCTCTTTGATGGCTGCAATGATTGTAGGATTCTAATGGAGAGATAAACTTTATCTCCAACATGGAAAGGTTTAGGTTTCATTCTTTTATTGTTGAGCTGCCCGAAAGCGCAGGAAACAATCATTTGGGTCATCACCGACTTGTTTTCTAAACAAGCCCATTTTATCCCGTGACAGAAGATCCCAACCGCAAAGACTTTGGCTAAGTTGTTTGTGCAACATATCTATCACCTTCATGGTACTCCAAAATGTATAATATCTGATAGAGGTGTCCAATTCACCTCTAAGTTCTGGAAAGCCTAGTCATCATCCTCAAACGAATGGGGGGACAGAACAAACAAACTCTGTTCTAGAACAATACCTCTGTTGTTTTATTAATTATCAGCAGGACTGATCTGCTGCTGTTTGCTGAAGTGGCTTACAACAATGCAGTACACTCTAGCACTGGATTCACTCCTTTCCAAATGGCAAATGGCCAGAGTTTCCTTCCTATGTCTGAATTGCCTGCCACCGAACCCGCCATTCCTTCCCTAAAAGGGGCGTTGTCTTACCTGAACGCCTTTTCTCAGCATGATGATGGAGAATCCACAAATGGGTTGTCTTAATCTTCCTGCTCCAATAAGACTAAGTCTGAAGTGTAAGTACGCCTCTGCTGTGCAATAGCCCCCAGTTTGAGACTAATGTGAGACACAGACGTTAGTCCGACGTGTGTGCTTTCCTACACTGCAACCAGGGCCAAACAGACCCTAACCAGGAGGGAGTGGATTCTCCAGCATCATGCTGAGAAAAGGCGTTCAGGTAAGACAACGCCCCTTCTCCAGCATGATTGGATGGAGAATCCACAAATGGGACATACCAAAGCCCCGTGTCCCTAAGGAGGGGAAACAGTTTGGGCCTGGGTCCTGCTGGGTGATAATACATGTTGCAACACCCTGCGACCAAAAGAAGCATCTGAGGAGGCATATTTGTCAATCTTGTAGTGTCAAACAAAGGACAAAGGCGAGGACCATGTTGCCGCCCTACAGATCTCCCCAATAGTTGCCTGGGTTGCCCAGGCCGCTGAAGTAGCGGTGCCACAGGTAGAATGGGCCGTGATGTGTCCAGGAATTGTCAGTGGTTGTGTCTTATATGCGAGGGCGATGCAAGCCCTAATCCATCTCCCTATCGCTGAGGAAGAGACCTTCTGGCCCATGGATGAAGGTTGAAATGACACAAACAATGCTTCGGATTTACAGAAGGCTGAAGTGCGTTTGACGTAACATCGCAGGGCCCTGAGAACGTCAAGAGTATGCCACCGTTTCTTGAGATCATGGGAAGGGTTAGGACAGAAATTTGGTAGAACCACCTCCTGGGACCTATGGTATAATGAATTTATCTTGGGAATAAAGGAAGGATCTAATCTGAGGGTCACCCTGTCTGCATGGAAGATGCACAGGTCCTCTCTGACGGAGAGACCGGCCAGTTCCGAAATTCGCCTGGCCGATGTGATCGCCACGAGAAATGCCACCTTCATAGACAATAGCTTAAGGGAACATGTGGTAATGGGCTTGAAAGGTGGTGAGATGAGGGCCTGTAAGACCCGGTGTAGGTCCCAAGAGGGATATCGGTGGACTGTTGGTGGCCTGGCGTTAGCTGCGCCCTTTAAAAAGGAACGCACCGTGGGGTGGGGTGCCAAGGGAGCGGAATTGTCACACATGAGTACCGTAGATAGAGCTGTGACCTGTCTGTGTATGGTGCTCGGGGATAGTCCCTTGTCCAACCCATCCATCAGGAATTCCAAAACAATCGGAACAGAAATGTCCGAAAGCTCTACTTTACGACCAGAGCACCAGATACAGAAGCTCCTCCATGTGGCATCATAGATCCTATTCGTTGAGGGGCGCCTGGATTGCTGAATCATGGCAATCACCCTCAAAGAATATGCATCTCGGGTCAAGGCCCGCCGCTCAAGTGCCAAACGGTTAGTTGGAGACACTGTGGGTCCGGGTGCTGAAGTACCCCCTGAGTGAGAGCAATACGACCTGCTGGAATCCTCCATGGAGGGGAGACGGAGAGCTCTACCAGGTCGACGAACCACGGACATCTCGGCCAATGTGGTGCAATCAGGAGGATCTCCGCTCGTTCGTGCAGGATCTTGCAGATCATCACGGGGAGGAGTGGCAAGGGAGGAAAAGCATAAAGCAGTTCTCTGGGCCAGGGACTGCGGAGGGCATCCGTCCCTTCTGCTGTCGGAGACGGGAACCTGGAAAAGAATCTCGGGAGTTGGGAGTTGGCTGGGGAAGCAAAGAGGTCTAAGGTTGGGGGACCAAACCTGTCCACAATCTCTCTGAACAATCCCAGGTCCAGGCGCCATTCGGCATGGTCCACAGTTGCTCTGCTCAAAGAGTCCGCCTGCTGGTTGGCCACTCCGGATATATGCTCTGCCCTGATGGAAGCAAGATTGATTTCTGCCCAAGACCCCAATTGGGCCTCCTCCATGAGAGGCCTGGACCTGGTCCCCCCGTCTGTTCACGTGGGCCTTTGCAGCAATATTGTCTGTAAGCACCAGGATATGTTGCCCCGCTACCCTGCTGCTGAAATGTCGTAAGGCCAGAAGTATGGCTCTGAGTTCCAGCCAGTTTATATTGTTTTTCAATTCCTCCTGGGACCACTGCCCCTGAGCCCAATGTGACTGGAGAAGCGCTCCCCAGCCGAACAGGCTGGCGTCCGTGGTCAGGTGATTCTGGCTGGCTCCTTGAACTTTGTTCCCCTTGACATAGCTGGGGAGGCCCACCATCAAAGGGAGTTCAACGCCGGCCGCGGAACTCGAACCCTCTGGTTGGAAGCGCTGATGCATAGCATCTGGAACGGAAGTAGAAGCCACTGCTGCTCCCGGGCGTGAAGGCATGCCCACGGAATGATTTGTATACAGGACCTCATCTTCCCCAGGAGTTGTGACAACAAGACTAAGGTGACCACCCTGTCTCTCCGGATTCGATGAACAAGGGCCCGAATGCTGTCCTGTCGGTCCTGTGACAGATAGACCGTGCAATTGGCCGTGTCTATGACTGCCCCTAGATGCAGGAGCCGGGTTGAGGGCACTGTATGGCTTTTCTGAAAATTGACTGAAAACCCGTGCTCCTGAAAGGTCCTGACAGCGAGGGCGAGATCTGACCGAGCCCTTTGGATGGAGGACTGTATCAGAATCTCGTCCAGATAACACTGAACTCTGATCGGAGTCTGTCTCAGGTGGGCAGCCAGCACTGCCAGTATCTTTGTAAATACTCTGGGTGCTGAAGAGAGGCCGAATGGGAGGGCCCTGTACTAATAGTGCTGGTGGGCATAACAAAACCTGAGAAATTTGCGATGCCCAGGGAGAATAGGGATATGTAAATATGCCTCTGTCAGGTCTATTGATGTCAGGAAGTCCCCTTTTCTGATGCTGGCTAAGATCGATTGTAGCGACTGCATCTTGAACTTCCTGTACATCAGATAGTAATTTAGACCTTTTAAATCTAAAATTGCCCTCCAGCCCCCGAGGCCTTCGGGACGACGAAGAGAATGGAGTAAAACCCCCGCCTCTTCTGATCCTCCGGCACTGGCTCTATGGCCCATATTTGTGACAGGTGGGAGATGGCCTCTGACATGAGGGCTGCCCTGTTCTTGTTCGTGGGGGTGGGATAAGTCCGGAAGTGATCCGGTGGACTGGACCAAAACTCCAGCATTAGACCTTGAGCTATGGTGTTCAAGATCCATGAGTCCGTGGTAGTGGCTGCCCATGCTTCGGAGTAAAGTGACAGCCGGCCTCCTATGGGTGGAGTGTCCCTGGAGTCACTTCCCTCACTTGAAGGGGCATCCTCCTGAGCCTCGGAAGGGCCGCTTGGACTGGTATTGTGGCCGGGGTCTGGATGCGGGACAGTCCTGCTGGCGCTCTGATCTCTGGTAGAAAGGGCGAGAGGTCTGGGGCCAGTCCCAGTTTGAGGCTGGCCAAAAGGACTGCCTGCGATAATAGTTCTGTGAAGCCCCGCCCCCCCGAACGCTTATCCCCCCTCTTAGTGTTGTTAATAAGAGTCTTGCGTTTGTCCTTGCCCTCTACCAAGTAAGGGTTGAGGGCTTCGCCAAAGAGTAGCCAAGCGCCACTTAGCCTTTAGGTCCGCCCGCCAGTTTTTGAGCCACAAAAGTTTACGGGCTGAAATGTCTGCCGCTATGGCTCGCGAAGAGTATCTGGCGGCATGGAGGCCACATCCCAGTACATGGAGTCAGCCATGTACTGGGATGTGGCCACCAACTTACCCAGGTTCTGATGAACACGAACCTGGTCAGGCGGGATCATGTCCTGGAGTTCACGGAGCCACAGTATGGAAGCTTGAGCGAAGAAGGCCATGGATGTGGAGGCCTTGATTGCCCAAGCCAATGCCTGATGCGATCTGCGCAAGGCAGCTTCAAAATTTGTCCTCTGCCTTAAGCGCTTCGGCCATGTCCCCTGAAATATTTGTTTTGGAAAAAAGGGAGTTAAGTGGCTCATCAATTTGAGGGACCTCCAGTAAGGAGGCGAAAGAGGGAGCCACATTAAATAAACCCTTCTCCGAAGTTCCCAGATTGGGGATAGACCCCAGGTTATCCCACTGTTGCGGAAGAAGGGGGGCAGGGAACATGTTTTTGTGGTACCACCGGTTCAGCATAAAGCGGATTGGGGTCCTTAGATGTAGATGGAGTTGGCTGGGCCTCCTGCTCCGGGGTGATGTTAGCTGTTGTGCAGGCCTTGAGCAGCAAGGAGCTGAAGAGGGAATTATCAAAAAGACCAGCGGGGGGAGTCGGGTCCGGAGTTGAGACATCCTCGTCGTCCGACAGGAACAGGTGTGAAGGATCGAAGTCCGCAGACTCCGATTCTGAGGAAACCTCCTGTGTGAAGTCTGATGTTCCAGTGTGGATCATGGAGGTGCGGCGGGAGCTTGTGGATGTCACTGGGAGACCGATGAGGCCATGAACTGGGCAAAGGCCTGAGTTATCATAGCCTGAAACTGATCAGGCCCTAGAGTCTGTGGTTCAGGGGGACGAAGCCCTGCTGCAGTAGGCGTAAACGTAGCCTGTGGCCCAGATAGAGCCTGTGTGGTACCCCCCTGCACTTTTAGGTTTAGCCCTGATGATAGGATCCACTTGTGTCACCTCCCTGGGAGGAGACCAGGCCCCTGGGGCTAAATTACAATGGGCCGATTGGGGCTCAAATATAGATCCCCCAGGTGGAGTATTGGTCTGTGTTTCACCTGAAGCCCTGGAGATTTCTCCCTCTAAGGCCTGATGATATCTGTTGGCCTCCCTGCAAGCTGTCTTAGGCTTTTTGGAGGGCTGGGCCTTTGATATGGTCTTCCCCACCGCCTCTGTAGAGGCCTTGTGCTTCTTTCTGGTGGGGGGTTCAGTACTGTCCTGTGAGGACAGAGGGAAGGAATTATCTGCCATCCTGCTAGGTAAAACTTAATTTGGCTAAGGGAATCTTCTGGCTAATGTTCCCAATGAGGCTGAGACGGCATGCACTCTGATGGTTCAATTAAAGTGGTCAGGCGCCCCCCTCAAGCGCTGTAATTGACCACTGAAGAGAAACACCTCCTACTAGGAATACAATTCCGAAGTGTAAATAGGAATTTAGATGAGGGAGGGGTGGTGGAGGTCGACTGGTGAGGCAATGCGTCCTTGTGGGGACGAGATTGCCCTCCCCAAGTGCTGAGAGAATGCCCAGGCAGCAAACAGAAGAGTGAGGTGATTCCTGGTAGGCGCGGCTATCAAAATGGCGGCCGCGATTCAAGCGCGCCAAAAATAACTGTCCCAGGGCTCTGAGGCTGAGACAAGCCTAGCTGTTGTGCCCCGTCCAAAATGGCGGCCGCACCCCGAGATCATCAATTTAGGAAACCGCTGAAGCTGCCACGATCAAAATGGTGGCCGCGCGATTTTCGCACCTAAAACGGCCGCCCGAAGTGCCTGGAATCCGGCCGATGGCCAATCTGCACTTCGTGCCGATCAGCTGGCTGCCGCTGCCATGGGAGCCTCTGTTCTTTACTGTGTCCCGATGGGCAGTAAATCAATCCTTTTAAGAGGTGAGAAAAAAACTGTGTATCGTGCTGAATCCCCTCAGCAGAGCTGAAGGCTCTGGCTCCGCACCAGTTAGCTGTGTAAGCCAACACTTTCTGTCAGTCTTTGGAATGTTAATGAGTCAAAGTCTTTGGAATGTTAATGTGGGAGAAAAGCTCTCATGAGGGAGAGCCCTCCTAATTCAAGCCGGCAGCTGCCTGCAGGGAATCCCTACAAGGAAAGCTTTCCTGTCAGAAGGCTAAAATCCTAATCAAAAGTTTCCTTTCTTGTTTTTGGTTAATAATATTATTAACTAAAGTCCAGGATGGAAGGAAGGAAATTCCACAAATGGGTTATACAACCTGCTGTAGTCTGGGCAATCAAAAACGCGTCTGTAGAGCAAGAGATTAAGTCTAAAACTGTGGGCTATTGCACATCAGAGGCGTACTTACACTTCAGACTTAGTCTTATTGGAGCAGGAAGATTAAGACAACCCATTTGTGGATTCTCCATCCAATCATGCTGGAGAAGAGTGAGTTCACCAATTGAAGAACATCTGGCCAGTAGTTAGAAAAGCCCTGGATGAGGCTAGGAAAGCTTACAAAAGCACAGGCTGACAAGAAAAGAATGGAACCTAAACCTTTCCATGTTGGAGATAAAGTTTATCTCTCCGTTAGAGTCCTACAATCATTGCAGCCATCAAAGAAGCTGGGACCAAAATTTATTGGTCTGTTTCCTATTAAATGCGTTATCAATCCTGTTACAGTAGAGCTGGAGCTCCCTAACATTTTGAGACAAATCCACCCAGTTTTCCATTGTAGCTTATTGAAACCTGAGATTACCTCCAAATTATGACCTGTGACCGCTCCGGCTTCTCAACCTATTGAGGGTGAGCAACACTTTGAAATTAAAGATTTTAGATTCTCACAAACATTACAGGTCCACACAATATTTAGTGGCCTGGAAAGACCTGCCTGCTTCACAGAATGACTGGGTTTTTAAGAAACATGTTAGGGCTCCTAGATTGCTCAAACACTTTCATGCACGCTATCCAGATAAACCTAATCAATGTTTCTTTTTGTGTTCTTTTTTCCCCTTCCTGTTTTGTTTTGCAGGTGGATTTGTCTTTTTATTGGGGAAGAGGCAAATGTCAGAGCCCCTCAATTGTATTTGCCTTTAATCCTTCCCTTTTTCCCTCTCTTGCTTCTGCTTATGTATTTTCAGGGCTTGCCGTACTATTGGAGGAGGGTGCCTGCAGGGGAAATAGTGTCTGCTTCATTCTACTCTGTGCAAGATGCCCTCCCTCTGGGCGAGAGGAATGCGACCTGAAAACATCTGCCTTATCTCCAGACAATGGAGCCTGGGACTGTTGAAAAATGAAACTAGGAGAGACCTTGAGAAGCCTGATAAATCTCCGGCTTCTTCTAACAGCGTGGTACCTGTGAGTTGGCTGGATTTCAACCGGGTGGTTGGACACTGGGGGGAGTAGTTGTGAATTGTCTTTTTGATGTATTCCTTTATGCACCAAATTTCAGATGTACCTTTGCTCTCTTGCCATCACTATCTCTCAATCAAACGTTCCTTTTGAGACAATGCCGTTTCAAGAGTTCTGCTTTCTTGGGAGATTTAGTTGAGCATAGCACACAAGCCACCTAAAGCCCTTCAAAAATCCTACACAGACCAAAGACCCAACAACCCCAGACAAAAATGAAACAGGAGTCATCTACAACATACAATGTAAGGACTACAACAACCATTATCTAGGACCAACAGGCCTGGCAAAATGCATCCATGAATACCAACTCACAGTCAGAAGACATGATGAAAATTCTTTAATTCTTTAATTTCACAACATACAGACAGATTTAACCATAGTTTCAATTGGGAAAATGTGACCATCCTGGACCAAGCCACGTTCAAATATGCCAGGGAATTTCTAGAAGCCTGACACTTTGACAAATCAGCCATCAATAGACACATATACATTAACTACATCAATAGACTATGCCACGGGTCGGCAACCTGCGGCTCCAGAGCCGTATGTGGCTCTTTGAGCCTTCTCCTGTGGCTCCCAGCCTCCTCTGCCATTGGCAGAGAGAGACAGAGACAGAGAGAGGCTCTCTCTCTCTCTCTCTCTCTCTCTCTCTCTGTAAAAAAGAGAGTGGCCTCATGCTGTTCTCCGAGGAGCTGACAAGCTTATTGGATGGGGCTCCTGCCTTGGCTGCATCTCAGCAGGAAGCAGGAAGGGCAGGAGAGCCAGCCCAATAAAAATGTGTGTCAGCTTGTTGGAGAACAGCCTGAAGCCAGCTTGCCAGGTGAGCAGAACATCAGAGAGAGGGAGAGAAAGGGGGAGAGAGAGAGAGGGAGAGAGAGGGGGAGAGAAAAAGAGAGATGGAGAGAGAGAGAGAAAAAAGAGAGAGAGGGAGAGAGAGAAAGAGAGGGAGAGGAAAGAGAGAGAGAAAGAGAGAGGAAAGAGAGAGAGGGAAAGGAAAGAAAGAGAGGGAGAGGAAAGAGAGAGAGAGAAAGAGAAAGAGAAAGGGAGAGGAAAGAGAAAGAGAGAGAGGAAAGAGAGAAAGTGAGAGGAAAGAGAAAGAGAAGGGGCGTTGTCTTACCTGAACGCCTTTTCTCAGCACGGAGATGGAGAATCCACCAATGGGTTTTCTCTGTCTTCCTGCCCAATCAGATCAAGTCAGTCAAATCTGCCATGCCTGTCCTGG